CAAGAAGCTACCTAGTATTTATTTCTCGGAGATTGTGCTGTAAAGAAACTTCTACTGGTATAAGAAGCAGAAAGCGTTACGAGTACTCTATATAACGTAGATATTGAAGCAAAATTTCATAGTAAGATAGATATAAAGACACTTGTAGGTAGAAATGTGATCGTAGAAAAAATGTTAATTTGCTGTAAAGCAGCTAAGCTGAACTGATTGATTAGATTTCATTCATTTTCATGGAGCTTGTAATGATGCTATCTCCTTCATCAAATCATTCTTTGCGAAAGCATGGCAAGAAGATATCAAAACCTGTTCGTAATATGGAAGTTTAGGACTACTTTGAAAGGCATTAAATTTTAACTTAAATAGGAACCGTGTGCGCGAAAACGTTTGTAATGAACTGTTGAGAAAAGGTTCTTTTTTCATTTACAAAATTTTTCCGTCTGCGACTTTGTTGAGAGTATGAAAATGGTGACGGCAATCAAAGGACACAAAAAAATTATTTTAAAAAGCTGATCTTAACAAACGACCGCGCGGGAATATTTTATCGTGAATAGTGCAAACACAGCTTGTCGACACAACAACAAAAAACTAAGAATCCAAACCTTTCGCAAATGCCAATATTTTTTTTCGGTAACTTTTTCTTTCAAACAACTTTGTGGCTTATAGATACCGTTGTATGATTAGAGGAAGTTGAAGTCGTTCTGAATAATTTAAGATATTGTAGTGGTGGACTAGACTGACTGCCGCTCAATTCTCGCTAGATTTGCAAGCAGATTTTCACTTAGGTTTGTTTGGGGCAAAAACACGCGAAATAGCGATTGTGACGTAGCAAGGGCTTTTAACAAATTTTACTTCCTCGTAAGCCGTTCAAGTGCTGCAAGTGTAAATGTGTATTCATAACCTCTAGTATCGCGTGAGTTTTTCCATCCGTAAAACGTGCGTAAAGAAAACGTGCACGAGAATTTCCGTTGCTTCGTAAAAATGAGTACCGCGCCTTTTAACGAGAGAAAATGTTCACCCTGTATAGCAGATGAAGGCTGTGCTGGCTGTGCAACTTTACTCTACACTCTTACGATTGCAACGGGCGTGAAACATACATAAGCGTCTAGAAAAGAACGTGGAAGTAGAAATATGACAATGTCAACGCACTTAAACGTTCACCTCAACGTACGTAATCTTTTTAAACGCACGTTCACGCGCGTGACAAACGCGACAGTCGAAATCCAGCTTAATGGTACGACATTTTGCCAGTGTTTCGAGCGTTTGAGGGCCGCGATTCTCCTTGAAATCTGCAATTTGCACTGAGAAAATCTCCTTGAAATCAGCAATTTGCACTAAGAAAAACCCCTTAACTTCATAAAACCATTGGAGAAGCCGCATTTTAACTCATCACTCGGACAACTCACTCATAACTCGTGACAATGTCATGATGCCTTACAACCACACACGTATGCCAGGAAACTCCTCCGTACATTTTAATTAAAATTGAACAGCACGTTTTCATGACGGTTATCATATTATTGTTGAGATCGATGCGTCTATACTTCTGTCATTTTCTTTGAAAAGAACCAATGATCACTGGAAATTAAGAGGACAAATACTTAAGTCCATCTTATGACTGACAACTCAGTTCTGTCATTTGATAGAACTTGTATATATAATTATTATTTATGTACAGTATTTAACTTAAATGTTTGTCTGAAAATTTGCGATTAATTTGTTATGTTTACCGACTGAAGGAATATCTGAGAGATGTTTAAGGGTAGATTCTTCCGTTTTCATCTTTCATCTACCTTATGAGACCTATAATATTCCTTAATTCTTTAGTTCTATTGAATTGCAGGATGTTTTGACTTCTGATCGCCACCATGTCTAGAGACCTGTGGGTGTTTAAAACACTTTAACTCACACTCAGCGTTCAATGTAATTTCACCACGCTACAGAATCAGTTCTTTTCAGGCATATTTTAAGTTAACAAGAATATTCTCCCATCTTTGCAAATAAACGCACATTAGGATTTCCTAAAGTATTTAAGAGAACTTTTACAGCTATTGATCACATTTGAAAATCCTTTATCAGCTTCCTCTCATCAAACCACCGGAAGCCTATATTTCTACATACAATAATTGAAACTATATAACATCGAGCAAATTTTCTTCAAGGAACTAAATGATCAGAAAATAATCTATGAGCTTCTAGTCTTAGTAATTTCCCTTGTGAAAGATGAGCATATTTACAAGCAAAGCCATGGATATGTAATTCTCAAGAATTTTTATACAAAATGCATGTGGCGGCAGGAAGTTGTTACTGAAGATATCCGTTGCATAGTGTTCCTATGATTTAGACTAAGAGGCTATTGACGCTATAATATGTACATTTTTTTTCAAAGTTGTTCGGAAAAATACAGTTTTCCACGAACAATTTTTGCGGTATTTAAACTCTGAAACTCTTGACTAGAGGACTTCCCTATAGTGTTCAAGATGGCTGCCAGACATTTACAGATGCCACATTGGGAGCATAGAACTTTTACTGAGTTCGATTTAAAACTGAGTCCGTTTCGCAGCTTGGTAAAGGTTTATCCAAAGTTCCGCTTACGACTTGAGATAAACATTAATCAAAAGATCTACAAAGAATGATTTTGGAGAACGCCTTAGCAAAGAAACTGTTCATTGTTCCATAACACAAAGGATGTAAGGCACTGGGAAGGCAAATCAAAATAAAATTATAATCAATAAAGAGTTGATGATATCTAAATTGATACGCAGTGATGTTACAAACCCTTTCCCACACATAATGGGCTTGATATGGAAAATAACAAACGACATAAATGATAATAAGCATAAAAATCATCTTAAGTAAGTCTTTCTCCGGGTCTGTGTTTTCGGGTTTGCTGTCTCTTCGGTTATTCTGATCGAACACGACACTCTTTCGTTCCTTCATTCTCGTGTCCTCTCTCAAATCTTTTAGCTCCATTTGATCTTCGATTTGGACAATACAAGACGATTCGGCAGTCGAGGTCCGATTTCTTTCGTTAATCTGTACAATTCGCATCTTCAAGTTCCACGCCACTGCTCCGTAAGATGCCAGCATTATCACATAAGGTAAAGCGTAGTTCAGGATGAATCTGATAGCTACATAGGACCTATCGTTTACGAAAGACAGCTCGATGCATTCACCATTTCTAAACCTGAGACCGAAGAAAAACGGGCAGGCGATTGAAAATGACAACAGCCACAGCCCAGATATGGTCAGAAGTGTAATCTTCTTAACGGATGGTCCGCGTGGAAGAGGGTTTACAATAAATCTGTAACGATAAAAAGCGATGGCAGCCAGTGAGTAGATCACAACGAGAAGAGCAACTACTTGCAACGGATTCAAAATGCATGCGGCCTCTTGAAGAACGACGTCAGTTGGATTCTGCCCGCTCGCAAACATGACGGCCAAACAAACACTGCTTAGAATTTCTGCGAAGGCCATGTTAGCGACGAGATGGTAGGACAGAGGCTTGCGGGAAGGTATGGTACACACAGCATAACAAACCATCGAGTTGCCGATCACACTGGCCGAGATGATCACGGAGAAGAGGGTTAAACGGAAAATGTAAAGAGCTTTTGGTTCTTCATACTGTTCTATCCAGGAAACAGATTCCACCGTGGAGGGCTCTGTTGAGGTTGTGATGTTCGTATTGTTGATAAAATCCATCGTTTTTGCCGTCTTCCGGCTCTTGTCGTTCAGTATTCTTGTCCTCTTTGTTAACACCTTTATTGTGAGAGAGATAAGCAGACAACAGATACTGTAGTGCGAAGCTGTTTTCTCAAAGACTTTTGCTCCGTCTTCCTCTCCACTGTTTTGTTGATAGTCAACGTCACAAATGACTTCGAATTTTAAACCTGTCAATATGTGAATGACGAATTTTCATATTGATTTTAATTATAATTAAAGTTATCATTGCTGTTCTCGTATCTTGTATCTCGATAAACATTAGCTGACGATAATCACCAGAATTACACTTTTAAAGGCTTTTAAACATTTTCCCCGATGAATTCTTTGTTGAGTATTGACTGACACAAATGACACCAAATTTTCAGACCGTGAGTGACAAATGAATGACGAATCAGTGATAAATTATAAATGCTGGTCTCGTCAAAGATCGCTCCAAGAACGGCGCGAGGCTTGGTATACTAAAAACCCAGCTGGTACAGAGCTATAATCATTGCAACAGTGTAAGATCACACAAACATCACAACTGCCAGAGATTCGCGAAGTACATTGGTGGACTTTAAATAACCTTGTAAACATTATATGTGGTTAAAGTATGCCATCGTATTATAAGAGGAAGTTATCGAAGTAAAGATAAAAAAATCTTATTGAAGATATCCTACCGATAGACAGAGATAAAACTCACTTCAGTTATCACTAGAATCTACTTACAGCTTTTCACTTAGTTTTGTGTAGGGAAAAACTCACGCAAGATATCGATTATGACGTAGCTACAGCTTTTAGCAAAATTCACTTCGGACAGGTTTGCAAATAACAATTTTCTTTTCAATCAGCATATGAATTTTTTTAAAAGGAAACATATGAATTTTTTAAAAAGGAAACATATGAAATTTTTTAAAAGGAAACAGAGATTTAAACTGCAGAGACAACTCAGACTGAAAAATATGAAACTGCTTTTTAACCAAGCATTTGATAGTTTGATGAGAGCACAAGACGTCAGCCTGTTAAAAAATTAGAGAAGCACCTCGGCCTTTCTTGACCCACCGTGTTCACTCATAGCTAACACTAATGTTCTTTTGCTGCGGCGTGCGTATGCTAGGAACCTCTACTGCACATTTGATCAAAATTGAACGGCACAATTTCATGCCTAACGGTTACTTGCGAGGTCTGATCAGCTTGATCTAATTCCTGTCTTTTGTATCGAAAGAAACCGATAATAAAAAATGGATACCATCTCTTTATTGAAAACTCAAGAGTTGTATGTAGAATTAAAGTCTAAGTAGTTCAAGTTAGAACTTGAATGAAAATTTGCAATTGAATCAAATGAATTTTTCGTATTTATTGACTGAGAGAACATTTGGCAGATGCTCAATGACACATCAATCTTTCAATTTCCTTAAACCCCAGTCCAAAGCAGTCCGACAGCGCCGCTAAAACGCGTAAGGCGGGACAACTAGTGTCTTCTCAGCGTTGTTAGCTGCGGAGAACCATGTTTGTACGAAAAGGAAAACACATTTGGTTCTCAGACGTCTGATTCTTAATTAGTTTCTTGGCTTGGAAGTTCATCACATTAATCTTATTTTACCACTGATTATTGTAAACTGTGATCTTCCTAAACAACGGATATTCAATCACGTAAAGATGACGCAAGAACCTTCTAACTACTTATCAGAACATAACCTCCTAACAAAACACCATTTTGACTTAACAGTCCGAAAAAGAAAGACATTGGAACTCAAAGCGCTAACATTGGTTCGGGACATATACACGGAAAATTTGACTTGAGAGATTATTATTGGGTTTTTTTTAGAGTTTTCGCTTTACGTGACCCTTCAATACACGTGGAAAACAATACAAACAAGCAGTTGGATAGATAGATAGATAGATAGATAGATAGATAGATAGATAGATAGATAGATAGATAGATAGATAGATAGATAGATAGATAGATAGATAGCTTTATTAAAAATCACATGACAGCCCAGTAAGGCTGAATTGCATCATGATGATTATGCAATACAGTGGCTAAAAATTATAAATTATATTTACAGAACATATTATTTCAAGAATAATGCAAGAATAATACACAGACCTATTGTCTACATATGGCTGGTAAATATGTCTAGGAGAAACGCTTGGCGCGCATTACTGGGTTAACAGACTGACGTTGATTTATATGATTATAAGTAATATAGTTCTTCAGTGGCAAAAAATGGTGAAGCTTGTGCTCCGTATTGGATACTATTGGTTCGAAAAATTTATTACATTGCTCGATACGTCTATCCTTCAGTGAGTTTAGGTTAAACAATGAAAGGTTGGCGAGATATGATAGGCCAGGAAAAATTATAGATAGTGCGCGTTTTTGAACACGTTCTATGTCGTCACTTAAATAATCAGGCAGTGCAGGATGGTAAAGACGAGCACAATATTCGACTAGAGGCCTAATACAAGTAAGATATCCAAGTTTGGTGCCTTGAGGCACTCCAGATGCAACGGCTCCCCATTCCGAGAAACAGTCACTTGAAAGCTTTATACGCTGCTTCCTGTCCATGGGGAAGTCAGACCCGACGAGCAACCCCGCTCGGAATACGCAACAGTTGGGACTTAGTCAAGGGTGACCACGACCGCTCAATAAAGTTGGCGCATAAAGAAGTAAAAGTTAAAATACTTAAGGGAACTTTGACAAGGACCACTTATTAATAGGTAAACATTTAATACGGTGCCGCTTAACTCAGGTTCGACAGTATGTTGTAATAAATTCTATCATTCGAGAACAATAAAAATTTGTCGTGATGGTAATACGTTTAGCCTCGTGTGATAAACTCTTCAGTGAGTGTGTTGCATCTACACGTGCATCAGCTTGCTGCTCGTCTCGTCTTCGGCAAAGAACTATTGACCTACAGGTATTTATGATTAAATTATCCTCCATCAAGTCCACAATGAAGCTCACTTTTATTCTAGAAATTTCTGAAAACTTAAATGTCTTCGAGTATGTGAAGAAAAACAGACGCCTACTGCACCGTTGAGGAATGTGTTATCCGATAAACACCTTCGCCACGTGCAACAGATGGGAATTTGAAACGAAAGCAAGGTTAACCACCAAAATGGCCATCGTCATCTTTGTAAGGTTAGCTGATTCAGTTGGTTTTGAGATCGAGTCAGTTCTGAATGCTAAGATTTGCTTTGAATTCCAGATTTAACAACAGGGTGCCTAATAAGATTATGTAGTGATGTAAACGACAATGTTGCGATTTTCACAAAATGAAAAGCTCCAAACTAATTTTCATACCCTCGAAAACAACAACTGATCAACAATAGCCTCTACTTGGGGCAAAAAAATGCACGGATACAGTTTCTTGAGAGCGAAGCTCGAAGAGAAACGAGTGATTCGAGGAACAGATTATGCCCAAGGACACACTTACGAGGATGTTTTTAGTGCAAAATCGATGCTATTGTGTTTATTATCCTTCAAACATTTTTTAACGCACGTGAAAAAATTTTAACGAATAGCTTACCGTTTGTTGCGTGGGATGTTCACTTTTCAGTGTTCTCTGGTACGATTTTATGAACTAACAGACATGTGCTTTAGATGTTCTCCAGCTTCAGCGGTAACGTGATAATGGGACGAGGTTGAGCATGATTTATAAGTGTTATTCGCCAGCCGGGAGGTCCGTATTGAGAAAAACTGTGCCCAAGGTCTCAACATTCATTTCAAAAAACCGCAAACGATAAGCTAACTGTGAAAACAACTGACAACTTAGGAATAGATGGCCCATTAGCCTTCCAAAGTTTCATGAAAACCATTTGTCGTTCGGCAAGAGAAATCTCGTCATTGAAAAAATTTCATGCGACGTGCGCATGCTCTAAATAGCAGCAGTTTCTAAATTTGGAGCTCTTTACAATTTAATGTAATTCTAACTCGTCATCACTGCCCCAGGGATCCCATGAGATAGCTAAGCGCATGCGCATAACCAGTGCTTTTGGCGCCCGAAATCAGTTTGCAGTCTTCAGTGCTAAGGACAATATTTTTGCTGTTTTTTGCAATTTTTCGATTTTATCGAAGCAAAACTTCGCTCAGTCCATTTTCAACAACATTCTCCATATCCACAATACCAGACGAGTCACCAGCAGAGTTTTCAGGCCCAACGGTAGCGGCGTCAAGTATGAACGACAACAATCTGATGAACGTCCTACAGAACCTAACCAGCACCTTATCAAGACTAACTCAGGCCTCGAAGGCGCAGATGATCCTAAGGATGCATATTACTCCGTCCCTATGGCGGAAGACGATAGACAATTCCTTAAGTTTGAATGGAAGGGAAACTATTTTCAGTTTACTTGTCTCCCAAATGGGCTTGCATCTGCCACGAGACCATTAGTACCAAATTGTTAAAACTAGTCCATGTTGGCCTCAGATCTCTGGGCCATTTTTGTATGGGCCACATTGATGACTCTTTCCTCATGAGATACATTTATGCATCCTGTGAGGAAAACATTGTGTAGACGGTTAATATGTTTCTCAAGTTGGGTTTTGTCATCCACCTTGCAAAGTCAGGACTTATACCAACACAAGAACTAAAGTTTCTTGGTTTTCTGCTAAACAACATTTCGATGAGTATACGCCTCCCACCCAGGAAGGTTACTTATGTCAGGCAGGCATATGAGGACCTATTACACCAACATAACCTTACCATTAGAAAGGTTGCTCATGATATAGGTTTGATAGTATCCAGTTTCTCAGGTGTACAATACGGGGAGTTATTATATAGATATTTGGAGCAAGACAAAATCCAGGCTTTATAGGATAATAGGGGTGATTATGATGCACCCATGAGTCTGTCACAAGAGGCCAGATCCGATTTGTACCGGTGGGTGAACAATGTGACTTTCGCTCTCCGAAACATTACGCAGACCAACCCTAACCTCACCCTTACTACTGATACCTCTACAATAGGATGGGGGGCAGTACGTGGGGATCAAAAAACCGGGGAATTATGGATTCTGGAAGAACAAGCTTTCCATATCAATTACTTAGAACTGAAAGCAGTTCTGTTGGGTTCGAAATGCTTGTGCAGCACTATTCGTAACAAACACATTCGGATTCAATATGACAATGCTGCGACAGTAGCATATGTAAATGCAATGGGGGTTATGAAATCCACTGACTGTAATAA